CGCACCCTCCAAAAAAAAAGGCCCAAAAAAAAATTTCCCTTTTTTTAAAATATTTTAGTAAAAAAAAAAAAAAAAAAAAAAAAAAAAATCACTTTTGACAAAAAACATGACCGTAGGCCGCTATCATAGGAAGGTGACAATAAGATTCCATGATACTTAAAAAGTAGCTAAACTAATCCAACTGTGCCTTACTTAAATTCTATTGACTCTGTCAACTATATTAATGTGCAACATGTTTTTTTGTTGTTAAATTATGAGTTTATTAGTATTATTTACAAAACGTCTGGGGAAAAAAAGAACTGGTCACAGTGAATACTTCATTTATCTGCTGGCCTTTTAAATCTCTGCAGTTAAACATAACTGTTTCCAAACAAAGACAATCATAAATGAAACCGTCTCGAGCATCGTCCAGTAGAAATCCATCCATCATGTTTGTGATGATTTCCTGGTTAAACACACCTGGACTGATGTGACGGAGAGTTACGTATTTCAGCCGTTCAAATGAGCGGTTTTAGGGCAGGGATGCATCTAGAATATGGAGGACGCTGACCCATCAGAGCCAGAGATGGCCGTGGTGACCCCTACATTAGAGCTGAGAGTTTTAAAGGTACACCAACATTTCCTAATGCAGCATGACGCAAGATAAACACAGCAGGATTCCACAAAACGATAAAACTGAGCACAAAGTGTTGCAGAAAACAACTGACAGTAACAACTTCCACACCGAAGAGTGGTGTTGTTCCTGCGACCTGTAGGGCTTCTTTTTTTATAATCAGAAATGTATTTATTAATTTATTTCCTCAGCACCAATCAGAGTTGGTCAAGAAAAAAAAAAGCATCTGATTCCAGCTGGCAGCTGATTTATTGGTGCGATCTCTTCAGGATTATTTCAGCTACTTTTTCTGAATGTTTTCTAGGAGTTTTTGATGCTGTTTCCCATTAATATGGAGATGAAAATGCAACCAGTCAAAATGCTGTCAGGAATAATGTTCATATCACCGGCTGCTGTCTGCAAAGTTATACAGTTAAAAATCAACAGCAAATTATTTCGGTCCACACTAGATATTTAGGTTTGAGTAAAATTTTACATCTAAACTACATATTTAGCTTTCAAGTTAAAATTTTAGCTTGGACCTAAATGTTTACCTTGGAGCCAAATATTCAGCTCCAAGCTGCATATTTAGTTTATGAACCAAATTCTTAGTTCCAGCTCCAACCTAAATGTTCAGGTCCACATTAAATATTTAGTTTGGAGATAAATTTAGCTCCAAAATAGATATTTAGTTTGAAATATAAAAGTTTAGCTCCAAGCTAAATATTAAGCACAAGCTAAA